TCCATTTAGGTATTGTTATAATAACACTTTTAAAAAACAATTTACATTTACTAAAAGTGAGAAAAAAGGACGCAATTTAATTTTGTAAAAACAAAAACTTAAAATGATAAAAATATTTAACTTAGCCTGTGTTAGAGCAAAATCTGTAGATATAAAGATTTCAAACAAACAAACAAAAATTAAAAATTAATAACTAAAAAAAAGTTATAAATGGTTTAGAGGCACTTGGCGAATAGTGTTACAAATTTGGTAACTGCCTAGATATTATCTAGGAACTGCTGGTGGGCCTTGTAGTCTCTGGCCATTCAACTCCCTTGTCAGTTGCAGTTCTCTCTATATTTCCCGGCCATGTCTGTCTTTTAGTCTTTATGAATTTATAATCGCTATTGACAGTACACATACACATGATGAACTAGGTATGCGTAGAATGCAGATAGACTAAACTGCATATTTTTTTTTTCAAACAGCAGAGCATGGGATGAGGGCGAGCGAACGCCCAAGTACGAGATGGATAAATGGTGCAGCTAAAACCTGCACAAAGATTAAAAATTTATCGCTGAAGCCACCCGAGAAACGCAAGACAAATACAGAAAACCACGCGACTTTGCGAACAACCTGGTATTAGTGAGACGACAAAAGTAGAAGAAGAAGATAGACAATACAGTTAGATTTAAACGGACTGATCAAAATTACCACCAGGTGCAGGAAGGCAAATAAGGTATTGGATCAGCCAGCCAACTCCTTGAGCATAAGACAGTACCCAGCAGTAGATTAAACATCTTATACAAAGCAATTTTTGTTCCCGCTCTATGCTACCAGTGCCAGACATGGTCACTCGCAACAAAGCAACAACAACAAAATTAGAAACCATGCAATTAAGATGTCTGAGAAGGTCTGCAGAAGTCATCAGAAAAGATAGTGTCAAGAATAAGGACATAAGAGAGTAAGTCGGCACAAAACCAATTTTAAATTACAAACAAAGACAACAAATCAAATGGTTTTCCGACTTAAAGGAAATGTTTTGTGACACAATATGCACAATGCACAGACCGACCGACGAGAAGGATAGGGAGCGCAAGGTAGAAGAAGAACAATAAGAAACATAACATCAGAGAAACTGTAATAGCAGGATGTGTCTGTCGTCGAGACGGCCAGAAGAGCAAGTAACAGAACCTTCGATCTTCCTTGACCGGAAGAGGCGGGGGAGGGGGGGGGGGCTTCGTGGTCTCGAGGCATGGTGTGCGCCTCGAGTGCTGGAGGTTCCGGGTTCAATCCCCGGTTATGCATCTTCTATCTGATGTTCTCCATGTGCCCAGATACTTAAATTTCTGTACCTGTACCAAAATAACACCAGCGACTTTTATTACACATTTAGGAATAATTCGTTTCTTTCATACCACCAATAATTCTGTCTTCCCATTACTCAAACTTTCTACCACAACAATGTCTTAATTACTCAAACCGAGGCCTATTCTTTCACTTTCTACCACCACAATGTCTATTTTTTCCTGTAGTTCTTTCTTACTTCTTGCTATCAAGACTGTGTCATTAGCCTAACGTAAATTGTTTATACTGTATCCACCAACCACAATCCTAAAAATATCAATTAAATTCGTCATTTTATATTCACTGTATATTGAAAACAAATCAGGTAACATTACACATCCTTATCGTACACCCCTCTTTATACTTTGAAATGATCCTCAACAATTGGTAATTCTTATAGCTGCTGTTTGCTGCCAATACATATTCTTTATTATTCGTAGATCTTTTCCATCAATATTTAATTTTTCTAACAGTTTAATTACTTCTTCATGCTTCACACAGTCAAATGCTTTTGTAAAGTCTGTGAAGCATAATTACAAATCAGTCTTTACTTCTATAGCTCTTTCTGGCAATGTCCTTAGGATGTATACGGCATTGTTTGTACCGTTTCCTTCTACAAATCCACGTTGTTCATCTGATTTAATTTTGTTTATCATTCTTCTCATAATTTTTGTGTGTGTACATAAGTGGCTGAAAAAGGCAGACCTGATTTGAAACTGTTGATTGTTTGAGATTGCCAACCATGACTACATACGCTTCAACATGCCAAGTGATGATGGTACACATACTGCACACTGCAGTTTCAATGCTAAATGATTACTTTTTCAGTTGTATTATTTTTCCCATTTTACTATCCCCAGGTCCCAGACTTGGAATAGCATTTGGCACCCTCTTTCTTGGCCTGCTTGTTGGTGCTGCCTCAATGTTTTTATTCATACGTTATCGTTTCGGCAAGCATGGTGATCAAGAAGGTGGTACTATGCTTAAAACTTGGGAAAGTTAATATTTGTTAGCTGATGATGTGTAACTGTTAATTTGTGGGGGTATTAATTAACTGTGAATGTTTTTAACCTAATTCGTATGTTATAGGTTCTGCTAACATGTAAGTTTCTTTGAATGCATATTTTTTAAACTTTGTATTCTGTTCATTTGCACGGTAAACTGTAATTGCATCAGTCTTGAGTTTTAAATATTCCAGCATTTTAAGGAATATATATAACATCAGTAAAGAGATGTTTCACATAATATACGAAAGCACATTAGGGACAGACACTTAATTTTTTAACATTTAAACCTTCCTCTTCAGTATGATAAAGCAATTTGAGTTAGACATTTTAAAAAAAACTTTTTTTCACAACTTACATTCAGCTGCGAAGGCAGGTAATCAACATTTTAAAAACATAACACAAAGGTCAATTTATTATAAACAAGTAAAAATAGCATTTTTGTGTTGAGGGGTGGGGGGGGGGGGGGTCGGAGAACACACATGGAAATCGAGTTATAGAACGACATTCAAAGAGAGTATGACCATCTCTGTGTATATGCCAAGCGACGCATGCGATCATATTCCTCCACAAATCTGCCATGTCCTGCAAGAGTTAGCTTGCTAAATATTTTGATGAACTGGTAGTTTCGACTTCACGAATATTCATCTCCTTAGGAGTCTGTCAGATTCTTGGTATTATAAGGCGGAAAAACATCTTTTTGACCTTAATTGACGATCCCTCCCTGATTGTAGGCATCAGTCCCAGAATCAGAGCTTTCCTTGGTCGTGAAAATATATATATTTAGTTAGCTGTTTCTTTTATTTTCTCTTTACTTTATATGGTTAGGATAAAGATCAGTTATTACAATTCATTTTTATTTCATTAACCTTTTATATGTTCTTGCTGGGTTGCCGTGACATGGGTAAGTTCTGTTACGGTTCCATTATGCCCTCTGAGGAGCATCCTGCGCAAATACTAGGGATGTCACATATACCGCTAGGCACCTCACAGATCTTATTGTTTTACAGTTTTAAATGTCTTTGATGCCCACATTAATATCAATAAAATTTGACCCATGATAGATCCAAAAGTATTTAGAAAAATATATCTTTGTGATCTTAAGGATTTTATTTATGTTTTCTTGAAATAAAACTGAATTATTTATTGTGTTTTTTTTTTTTTTTAATTATGTGACGCACATGTGATACTTAGATGTGATGATCTAAATAAAATGGTCATGTGACTCAGTTGTGGTGGGTGCGATGGGATCGAACTGCCCAGCCTGGGGAAAACTGATCTTACTGTGGATCTAGTTATGTAAAGACCTGTAGTTTTTGTGCTGCCGGGTATATGGCAGATAGAACACACGGTAATATGTTTTTTCTAGTCCATCTGACGATCAAAATGTATCAGCATTTGCAAAATCAACACATCCAGATGCAGAAACCATTTTGCATGAACTAGACAGAGAAGATCTTAATGGAGGCTGATCCTGCACTATAAAAGAATGCATTTCCTGAGCGATCTGTTCAACAACTAGAAATTACAGAAACACGCCCAGATACCGATACTGCTGGAAGAGTCCGGAAAATCTCTAAAAGAAGCTGAACAGATGGCAAAGGAAGATTCTTTCTTCTGGTCCATTTGAAGATAAATAATAATCAGAATGCGAACTCGCTGCACCTTCAGATGTAGATACGTTGCTGGATTAGCCAAGAGACTCTACAAAAGAAGTCTAATGTTCTTCAAATGAATATGATTTTTCTTTCAATGACTTAGGCAGCAGACTCGCTGATTGATACTAGATATGGTTCTACAAGGTGCTGAACAGAAACCACCGGAGTTTGCTTTTCTACTGCTTGACATGGACATCAAACTTTGTTAGAATTTGCAGAAACAGCACTTCAAAGCGCAGATACGCTGCTTGATGAGATTGGAAACGTTTCTTCAGATTTTAAAAGACCTCATGACACGATGCATCTTTTTTAGTAATTCTGAATCTCAGACTGTATCACAATTCGCAAAAACACCCCTAAAACTGATACGATGGTGATTGAGCTAGAAGTAGCTTGAGTCATTGCAAAATTCTCCTGTGTGTGCAGTTACTTTCATAATCGTCCCAGGGCAAGCCGGCGTTGTTTGTAAGGAGAGAGCTGCTAGACTGGCAGACACTGCATTAATTGAAGATGGCTGGCCCATGGATCACGCAGACAGTCCTTAGAGAGATATGACGCTCTGAGGATTTGGAAGCAACGTGTCCACATCCCATCCAAGAATACGCGAATTGGGAGTAAAGATCGGCACAGCCAAACATGAGAAGCACACTGGACGCACACGAAGTTAACCAATATAGGACTGGTACTAGTAATTTTCCTTGGTTAAGGAGACTCTGCCCACCTCTAAAATTATTTGGGTGGCGTGGAAAAGGGGGGGGGGGGGTGTCTAAGGTGCCTGAGCTCCAATGTTTCGGCGAACTTTGACCGTTTTGATTTCAACAACGATATGAACATACAAAGACATAACAAGCAACGGCAAAATATTGAACATTAAATTGCTGAGTAAAACACAGAAAACAAACAGTCTTGTTAGTTAGCAGCGCCATGTACAGGATATGAAAGTAATTTTTAATCACATTTACTATCTGGCATTACTTTGTGGCTATCAGCAAGGTATGTTGACAAATATTTTTCATGAGATTGTCATGAATTCGTTAATTAATTCAAATAGTAGATCGGTTTCCTCAGCACTAGGTTCGTACATCTGCATTGACCCATCGTCCTCAACCAAAATTCCAGGTACGTAAGTATTTATGCTGGCCTAGCAGAATGAAACGTAAAGACAGTTGTCAACACACATAACAGCATCAAGAAGTCAACTGAACGTTTCGTGCATATACATATAATGTGTAAACGTCTTCTTTGAAAGAGTAAATAATGAAAAACCAGTTTATATCTTACAAAACAAGCTCGGCAAAGGCTAGAGGAAGTGGCCTGTTATTGCCAAAGAGGCGTTCGCGATCCTCTATGTCACAGAGAAGCTAAACTATTACCTACATAATGCACGTTTCACTGACATGTTTGCTAGAATCTCCCATACAAAATAGGAAAATGCAGACCTAGATACCCAGTATACAAGCTTACGACGCTAGGATTGAGTACGTTTAAGGAGCAGCCATTACCATTGCTGATCTGTTATCGCGAGTACCTTACAAGGATAGTTCAGATGAGAAAGATGATGGAGGTTCGGACATAGACTACCACACTTGGGAGATATATCCTATAAATACAAACAGAATAGAAGGGCTAGGCATTAGAAACCAACAGGATGAAACAGGAGAAATCTAAAAGGAGATAGAGAACGACTTTATAGGTTTTCCAATGAAGACTGAACAGGGGAAGGACGGAGAAATAAAAAGAATAATAGAGGAGTTACAATATAACAAAATGAGTTTGAAAAATAAAAGCTGTAAGAGTCTGCCAGATGATGGACAGTCATACTTTATAACAAATAAGGAGGATGATCCAATTTTGAGAAAATATATTCTCAGCCAAATACGCTTGAAAGTGTTGAACCAATATCACCATAGTAACAGACTACGCAGAACAGCAGAAATGGTGGGACTGAGAATAAATACAAAGAAAACAAACAGCCCAAACCAACAACCAGTGACCATAAGTAAGCAATCCCTTGCAAATGTAGAATATTTCACATATCTTGGCAGTGTGGTGTCCCTATTGGGAGGGACAGAGGAAGACAAACAGTCACGCCTGAACAAAGCTAGAGCTGCTTTTGGAAGGATGAGGCAAATCTGGAAATCCAACAGTTACTGAAGAGAAACAAAATTCCGACTCTACAAGAGCATCATTTTGCCAGTTCTTCTTTATGGAGCGGAATGCTGGAGGATGACCAAAAAGGATGTACACAAGCTGTCCACCTTCCACCACACATGTCTACGTAGAATTATCAAAATTGTCTGGCCACATACAATCTCAAACACTAAACTACTTCAAGTCACAAACCAAGAAACTCTAGACAGTATGATAACCAAGAGAAGATGGAAATGGCTTGGCCACGTTATGAGAATGAATCCTGATATACCTGCCAAAACAGTTCTCACATGGATTCCAGAGGGAAAGAGAAAACAGGGGCGCCCAAAAACAACATGGAGACGAACGATGGAAATTGACCTGAGTGTGGCATCTTTGACATGAAAAACTGCATTAAAGATTGCAGAGGACAGGAAAGCATGGAAAGTTCTCTCTGAAGCCTAACGTTCCACTAGGCATAACGAGAACTGACTGACTGACAATATCACCATGAGAATGGTCACATAGGAATAGACCGTAATTACAATGCAATCAGAGCGAAATATCTGTCCCTAGACCTCTACCGCAGGATGTATGAGTATATTAGTAGTTGTGAAACTTGCAGGCTAAGGGAAACTAAAGCTCCAAATGCTCTATGCAAAAACCAGACATGTCTCTGTTTCACATGCAAAAGAGTAGCTTAGATTTTTCAGGAACCTTATCAGGCAACATGTAGATTCTACATATTGTCGAATACTATAGTTAATGGCCAGACATTTCCCATACCAGACTAGACAGCCGACACAGTAACTAGGCTATTACTTCAAGAATGTGTCATTAGATCTGGTTCCCATTTTAGGCTGGGTCGACCTGAGACGCCCTATATCACGATAAAAATCAACGCAGTCAACTGTGGGTTTCGAACGCGGTACGTTGAAATTACGAGTCTGACTCGCAAAGCCTAGGCTACGGACGCCGCAGAGGGTAATGCAAGAGATGAATATAATACATATTCAAACTTCCATCTAACACCCAAACAGTAATGGAAAGAATAAACACCAACATCGTACCATGAATGACATTATTGCCAAACACACACACACACACACCCACACACATATATATATGTATATATGAAAACAAAAAGGACTGGGACCTTTATTTAAATCAAGCGTTGGGAGCTATAAGAACAAATGTAAATGAGAGCGCTAAACATTGGCCGTTTTTTTTTTTTTTTTAATGAACGTTTGACAGCAATCACTAGCACTTTATAACTTGCTTCAGCCCGAACAAAATTCATGGGTGAAGATTTTCTCGAGATTGTACTGCACGAAATGTATAACGCCCACGTAAAAATACAGAGACAAAATACATTTTAAAAGCGTTTGACAAACGTAAACAGTACGCAGACAAAAACGAAGTTTTAGCTGAGTTTGATGTAGGAGAAAATGTGTTTTTCCAAAAACATGCCAGAAATCTAAGTTCAACAACCGGTGTAAGTCCGGATACGTTGTGTTATAACGACTAGGTCAGTATCATACGTTTTTAAAAACCAGCTAACAGGACACACCACCCGAGTTCATGTCTGCCACCTTAAATACAATGACACGTTAAATGCAGTGTCTGTCCCAGATGGAACAGGATACAAACAGGAGGACCACTTTAGCATGCCCACCAGTGACGGACACCGACAGTAAAGTCAGTACAGTGGAGGAGAGTCACATAGCAAACGAGGGAGCATCCGCAGATGGACACGTAACGGCTGCGGAGGTAGAACCAGCACCGACGAACAGGTCAGTAGGTGAAGAGGTTTCAGCTGGGAATAAATCGGATATCGCCGACTCAACAGACGCCTCATTTAGACATACTAGAGCAGCACACACAAAAAAAAAACTAAACAAGGAAGAAGAAAAAGAAATAAAGAGGGCTTGTAAAGAACGCTCCCTTTCATCTAGCGAAGGAAGCGTACCGATTTTCGAAAGGCAGAAAATTATGTCCGAGAGTGAGAGTAGGGCAATATTAAATGAGGGAAAGTCAACTGACACGCCGGAAAAATCAGATGTGAAGAGTAGCGACTTCGATAGTTGTGGAAATGCAGGCGACTATGAAACAGATCAGAAAATAACCGAGCCCAGAACAAGAAATCTGGGGTATTAGTCCTCCAGTCAAGGAGAATGCAACCCACAACATAAAAAGAGATGTTTAAGGGAACGAACGAACGAACTTTATTTTCAAAGGGTTACAAACTGGGCACGCAGGCCCGTCTGACATTCAGCCCTTCTAAGCACTCATTTTTCAGAGTACCAATGCCTGTTATCAATAATGCATGTTATGGATATAATAAAGAAATATACATTATAGAATAATGCATACACACATCGTGTGTACACAATCTTACACACTCAAACACACACACACACACATACACACCAACACACTGATGTACACATACTCTTACATTCTTATACATGCACACTCATATTCAGACATACGTAATACATACATACGCGTCTATATACATGGTTAGTTGCGTATCGTTTACAGGACGTTGCAGAACCAACCCCAACAGTCCCTGGCTGTTGTGTGGTTTTTCTAGGCAAATTTACGTCTAGTAGTTTGCCATTGCTCTCTGGACGGTCGGCTTTCTTGATACCACTGTGGAAACCAACGCAAGGCCCATGGCCCGCAGCTGGGAATGAACCTGGCATCTCTGCACCACAAAGCGTTCGCATCGACTTAGCCACAGAGCCGATCTATATACATACATAAATGTAAAACACACACACATACATACGTAGACAAACATGCACAAACATAAAACACACACACATACATACATAGACATACATGCACAAACATAAAACACACACACATACATACATATACATACATGCACACAGACATTCCATACATACACACCTACACATGCATGCATGCATACATACACACAGATACAATCACATATACAGACACCCACATACGCCCATAACCACACATATACACTCATATAAATAAATACATCCACTTACATGCACACATACACACATATTTATTAGTTGGTTACAATTACGACAAGTGTATACCACTGACTTTCAAGCCAGCGGGGAGGTTGCATTCACTGCCTCTACCTCCATTTCAACCACGAGATGTTCTGGTGACATGTGTGTGCGCAATTTGAGCTCAATAGTTTATCGAGAAATTATGAAAGATCTAGCGCAACGTTTCCCTCAGACAGAGATGCAAAAGCAAACTTATTTTAAGCTAAAAAAAAATGGTGAGATACACCCTTCTCCGATCTAGATGACAAAATACCAAAACTTTGGAAGATTCGTATGTATGTTGCAAACGATTGAACATAATGAGCAGCTTGAAATCGAAAAATTGAACAATTTTTTTCTCGGATTCACAATCTTTCGATTTAACTGTTGCTAGTTCCATGTCATCAAATTAAAATGAATTGGCTCTTTTAAAAGTTTTAATCCGGCAAAGTTGGAATATCAGATAATATAAAAATATTGGAGAGAAAAAAGATTGGTATCTTCGTGACAAAGCCGCTGCCTAGCCCTGTTAGCTGTGGGTTTCCAGCAAGAGAGTTGAAATAGTCGCAAGTTTTGCACAAAGGGGGAATTCTTCAGCTCTAGAAACATTTGCAGTGGATCTAAAAGGAGGGAAAAAAATGAACCCACAGCTAACAGGGCTAGGCAGCGGCTTTGTCACGAAGATACCAATCTTTATTCTCTGCAATAGTTTTATATTATCTGATAGATGACACATATGCCCACATTAGTAGAGAAAGTGTAATAAATGAAATGAAAAAAAAAAAAAAGAAGATCGAGTTTGATTACTGTACACAATGTTAGCTAGTTAATTAATCGACATAATATCCTCATTGCAGATAAGACCAGTCAGTTCCTAAGTGCTCGGATCCCCTTCTCTGTAAATCCCGCACTGTGTCTGTTGACAGCACCAGTCATGATTTGTTTTTTTATTCTTCTTTGGCTTCCTGCATGGTGTTTTTGTCATGTCACACGTCTTTTAACAAGCTGTTGTTGCAGTGTGGTCATAGTTGCAGATTCAATTTGTTGTCGCAAACGTCTTACTTCTCGCTGTGCATTTAGTATATCAGCCGGCCCATGACTCGTCCGCCCTCCTGCGTAGCTTTACCTACAAATCTATCAGCGTGCTTATTACCTTGCACACACGAACATGACTAGGAAGCCGATACGTCTCGGGCCCTGACTGTCCCAGAGACACCAGTCACAGCCTTCAGACCTAGCCCATGTCTATCTTCCTGAGCATACACACTGAGTCACTGAGAAAACATGCTCAGGTGAAAGGTTTGCTTCTCGAGCCATGTTATTGCTCTGGTCACTGCCATGATCTCCATAGTGAGACTACTTGTAATCGTGGCAAAAGCACCAGCATCTGACTTCACAACCTGAGCCTACTGTACTATACACAACGCCATCATTAATTTACACAGTAGTAACAACGCTAAACGGTGGCAGACATACCTGTATAAGCTTGGCTGGATCTGTGTACTTATATAAGCTTTTAATACAAGGACATAATAAGCAGCATGGACTTCCGGTTCCAAAAGCTACTATGCACGCTCTGGGGTCAGAAGCAAAACAGGCCACAATGACAAGAAAAATGACAACTGTCAAAGCAGTATATCCTGCATACCACAAGATTTCTTTTGTAAGTTGTTCATCTGCTTTGAATAAGTCTTCCTCCGTAATAACCTTTGAATAAATTGAAGAATATATATATATATATATATATATATATATATATATATATATATATATATATATATATATATATATATATATATTTATATATATGTGTGTGTGTGTGTGTGTGTGTGTGTGTGTGTATGTGTATATATTTATATGTATATATATAAATGTGTGCATTTATGTGTATGTGTGAGTGTGTGTATCTGTACAAGTGTGTGTGCGCGCTTCTGGGTGTGTATATGATGTGATCAAAATCAAGCCTATAGTCTTCTCCAGCATAGCCTGATACTCAAATTATCTGGTTCACTCTGATAGCCACGTCAAATACATAACAAGATTTAGAGTAGCTGCAGACACAGATCACCTTTTACATTAAAGCTCTGGACGCAGTTAGGGTCAGCGGCTGATAAGAGGGAAGTCATAGATGGCGCAGGCAGAAGACAACCAGACAGGTTTCCATCCCGAACAACATTAGGAGAGGAGAGGAGTGGGTTAGAGTGCCAGCATAATTAAGGATTCTTTAGTCATAATCACATTGAGCCGGGAGTGCAGAGTGTGGCCAACGGGTGCCACGGAGGAGGAAATTCAGCAATTAATTCAAGATAATGCTCGGTCAGAGGATGTTGTTATTAATACAGACGGTTTAGTGTCAATTCAGTGTCAAGAGGCAAAAGAAGTGCTTGGGGCTTCTTAGCAAACGTTAATGGTCGACGTTTGGTGCAGGAGAGCCTAGCATATGATACTACAACATGCAGCTTGAGAATGGAGGTGGAGGTGGTCACTACAGCTTCTGTTGGTTATAGAACACTCAAGTGATTGCACTGCGGCCATTAAATCTGACAATATCGTTATTTTTTAAAGTCATCAGCTCCAGTGCTGTCATTATTGCAGTCATTTCAGCTCTATAGATTGATATTTTGTATGAGCTTGTAGTTGAATTTGCTTTTCATTTTCGGGATCATTATTCCAGCTCACATTTGCCCTTTGTCATTTGTTGACCCGACCATATATTATTAGTCTACTTTAAGTTAGTTTGTTTATACGTTCTACTGATTTTACCTGTGCATCCAATTCTTCACTTTTAAAAAAATGGTTAGACTATAATCTGTGTCAGGTAATGTTACTTTCCAATTCTGGATTTCGAGTTTGTACATTTTTGCGAGTTTGAATGATTTTGTCGAGACTGCTCATCTCCAACAATATTGGTGCCATCAGGCACCATGTTGATTTTTTCTTCCTTTTGAGGTGTTTCAGATGCTTTGTCCAATCTTTTAGTGCATGGTAAACTGTGCGTGTCTTGTCAAAGGCTACCTTCATTCAATAATTAAGTTCTAAGCTCTTCCCTTCTTTGCCTGTTTTATGCCCAGCCCTACTTCCAAAGCCTCAATGGGTGTCGTCATTCTGGTTCCCGCTCCTATTTCCTTTAGATTGTATTTTATCTAATTTCTTTTGGTGTATGTCTGCGGCTGTATCGTACACTATACTGGTGTACTTGATTTTGCCTCTAATGAGTGCGTTTTACATTGCTGTTGTATTTGGACCTCATCCGTTTCCTTTGATTGTTTGTTAGCATATTTATTAGGCATCTGCTGGATTCTACAAAGGTGTCTAAATGAGTTCTGCAGCAAATTGTGGATCAAGTGCGACGCCCAGGAACATTGTATATCTTTCTTTATCTTTGCATGATTTATAGTTTTATATATATATATAAATTATATATATATATATATATAAATTATATATATATATATATATATATATATATATATATATATATATATATATATATATATATATATTGCAGTTGACGTTTAGGATATGTATGTTCAGAGACTTCTCTGCTGCTCCAAATTATCAGAATATAGATTATTGTCAGTAGGTTAACTATGGTAGGGTAACCCTGTGGTATTCCAGTTTCTAGTATGGAGTCTGATGTAGTATATAGTATCTGATGAGTGCATATAATCCTTATCATTAGCATGGGCGATCACCTCTCTCCACAATCTGCAATCCACAACTATGTGTATCAGTTCGTGAGTTAACACCCCTCCACGCTATGACTAAAGATGGTCAAGAATTTTCTGGCGCTGTCTTCCTCTGTCTCTCCTTCCACAGATATTTTATGTGGTCTCAACGTCTTCCAGTTTCCTCTTCTCATGACAAGACCCAAATATCGATGACTGTCTCTTTCTGATGTTTGTGATAGGTTTTCTTCGAGCACTCGCCTTTTTCAAAACATCTAGGCTGCACTTCTTGGCTGTCCAAAAAAATTCTAAGGATTTTTCTATAAAGCCACATTCCCGAGTCCTCAAGATATTGTTCAGTTTGTTTATTATTTGTCCAGGATTCACAGTTGTATGTTTCAACTGGCTCTATTTAGCATGCGAAAATTCCTTTCCTAACCTCAAATGAAACAGATTTATTGCGCAAAATGTTCTTTATTTTGTAAAAGGTAGTTATGTCTATGATACATTTTCCATCGAATGTTAACCATGTGCCTAGATGCTGAAATGTCTGTACTTCTTCTTAAACAACGCATTTGACTTTAATTATTTGTTTAGGGACTTATATTTTCTTGGAAACGACTACTAGTTCTGTCTTCCTATTATTCAAACTAGGACCCATGTTATCATTTTTTTACCATCTCTGTATTTATCAATTCTGTAATTCCCTCTGACTCTCCGCAGCAACGGTGTCATCAGCAACACTCAGGGAGCTTATGTTATGACCACTAACCACATTTCCTGACATATCCATGTTAGATTTAATTATACATTCACTGTTTAATGACAAGAAATCAGGTGACAGTACACATCCTTGTCGTACTCCCCTATTTATGCTCAGAAATGTTCCCAAATGGTTATGAATTCTTATTGCTGCTGTTTATTGTCAATGTATGTCTATTTTAATTTGTAAATCTATTCCATCAATGCTTAACTTTTCCAGTAGTTAGATTATTTCTTCATGTTTCACATTATCAAATGCTTTTGTATAGTTATAAGTAAACATCGTTTTTGTTTTTAAATCTAATCTTCTAAACCTCTTTCCGCAAGAGTCATGATGATGTATATGTCACTGTTTATACATTTTCTTTGTACACATCCACGTGTTCTTCACTTCATCTTCTTCTTCTTCACTTCCTCTTTTACCGCTGTGGGTGTCGAGAGAGATATAAGGTGCTGTTTCTAGCTCTTCTGGCTGCCTCGACCATAGGCACATCGTGCTGTTGTAGAGTTTCTCTGATGTTATCCTTCCATCTTGTTCTTGGTCTACCCCGTGCTCTACGTCCTTCTTCTCTTTCCATGTATGCTTTGTATGGTATGGTGTCACAAGGCATTCTCTCTAAGTGGGCAAACCATTTCACTTGCTGTCTTTGTATGTAATCCAGAATTGGTTCTGTGCCGACTTGTTCTCTTATGATCTCATTCCTGATCTTATCTCTTATGGTCACTCCTACAGCCCTTCTCAGACATCTCATTTCCGTGGTTACTAATTTTCTTTTATGGTTTGTTGTGAGTGACCATGTCTGGCACTGGTAGCACAGAGTTGGAATAAATATGCTTTGAATAAGATGTCTCTTTGTGCTGATTGGGATTGTCTTATGCTGTAAGAGGAGGGCTAGCTGTCCCAATACTTGGTTTGCTTTACTGCATCTAATGTCAATTTTTTTATCCAATTTCCCATCTTCGGTAAATGTAGTTCCCAGATATTTAAACTCAGATGCCTGTTTAATGCCTTTGTATTCTATTGCTATGTTTAGATCTGTCTTCTTTTTTCCTATTGACATTACTTCTGTCTTTTCAGTGTTGATTCTCATATTATTTGTTTTACATTCTTCATTCATGGATGTTAGATGTTGTTGCAATTTCATGGCTGTATCTGCTATCAAGGCCTGGTCATCTGCAAAGAGTAATTCGTTGATCTTACTAAGATCTTCATTCATGGGCTTGGCATTCTTGCATATACTGTCGACGTAGGTGATAAACAGCAGTGGTGATAAGACACACCCCTGTCTTACTCCCGATGTCACTGTGAAAGGATGAGATGTTCCCTGATTTATTCTAACTACACTTCTACAATCCCTGTATAAACTTTTGCACACTTCGATGAGGTGTTCGCTTACTCCATATCTTGCCATTATTTTCCATAATAATTGTCTGTCGACTCTGTCAAATGCCTTCTCCTGGTCTACGAATGCTACAAATAAGTTCTTATTGTATTCAATGTTTTTTTCTATTAACTGTTTAAGTGTGAAGATTACATCTGTGCAGCTTCTATTTCTCCTAAATCCCATATGTTCTTCTGCCAGCTGTGGTTCTATCACTGGTCTCAGTCTTGTTTCTATTATCTTGGCATACATTTTGCCAACATGGCTTAAAAGAGAGATGCCTCGATATTGACCACATTCTCGTTTGCTTCCTTTGTTCTTCCGCAATGGTATAACTATTGCATGTTGCCAATCAATAGGGGCCGTTTGTTGTACCCATGCTGCATTGAATATTCTGTGAAACCATCTGATGCTGCTTTCACCTGCTGCTTGAATTATTTCTGTCGGTAATCTATCAGCTCCTGGTGCTTTATATTTGGGAGACTGTTTAATGACTTTTTCTATTTCATCCATTAGTATGTGTGGTTCTAACACTGTTGCTCTGTGCTCTTCAGTTGTTCTTTCCTGATGATCTCCTAGAGGATTAAAGAGCTCATTGAAGTATTCCCTCCATCTTTCTGCTATCTCGGATCTATCAATGGTCTTCCTGTCTTATCATTAATTATTTCAGTAGGGTTGTAGCTCTCATCTCTTTTCCGCATATTTTTAACCACTTTGAAAAATTTTCTGCTGGCTGTTTTCTCATTTTCTTCTAGTGACTCACCGAAACGTTCCCAGGATGCTTGTTTTGCTTTCTTGACACTCCTGTTGGCTTCTCTTCTTTCCAGTCTATAGTTTATATAATCTTCTTCTTTCTTTGATTTTATCCACTGTTTATATAAGTCTTTTTTATTTT